ATTGCCCTTTTGTAATTTTTGGGGTACGACAAGGAACATAGCGACAGCAGCATGTTAAATGGCCATTTATAAACATAGAGATTGTTACCTTTAACACAAGCCAAGCACTGGTCGCTTTGGGCATCTGACGAGTTACTGGCGTCGATGAAAATTGATCCATCTACATTTCGAGTTCTATAGACAGAACCAGCCGGACAGCATGGTGGTGTTTGACACGAGACGCATTCCAGTGAGGACGCCGATGGGTAAAGACCTGAATTCGATGATTGGTATACTTTGCCGGTGCTATACAAGTAGGGTGGGCACGCCGCATTTTTTGAAGAAATGTATGTAAGTGGGACTGCTGCCCGCTACTATACTGTCACGAGAATCGGGGAATTCGTGAGCCAGGGGAGTGTAGCCAATCTAGGGGGTGGGGGTGAGGGCAGTCACTTGACATGCGTGAAAAGCTGGGCGTGCCCACCCCACTTGTATAGAGCCCTTTTGCCCCCTTATGGGCTTCCGAACACCCTCAGAATCTGAAATTAAACAACAAAAAGTCAAAACGCCATTAGCCTCGAGAAAAAAAAACCACGTAACTTCGCTCCAACCTAATGCTCAATAATGAGATTCATTCCTAGGTTGGATTGTTGGTACAGAAAAAATCAATAGAGTGGTTAAGCCGAGAGAAAATATTGGTTTATATTAGTGTGACAATCTGACCTGCTGGACATGTCTGACACTGGATGCCAAGGGGTGTGATTTCAGTCATGATCGATCCAGGTGGACATTGACAGGATAGTTTAGATGGTGTCGGAACGGTCCCGCTCGAGCACGGCTGGCAACTGTAAAACAATGAACTTTTGCTTTTACTTCTGTTGACGTTCCCTGGTTGGACAGACCATAGAGAAAATTTTGCTATTCACTTCGCTCGGTTTTTGACAGTTGCCTGACCTTGCGGTCACAATACTAGTCCCTATGACATCGAGGTGATGCAATGGACAGAAGCCTCCCAACCCACGCGTGTTCCGTAGGATCAAAATGTAAAAGAATAAATTATTTGACGTTTTGATCAGTCCGTTTTGGGATATGCCGCGCATTTCACTTTCATTCAGAATTCTTTGAGTTATTCGGTTTAGCACTGGCTCAGCACTATGTGGGAGCCATGTCATAGCTCTGGCCCTAGTTCTAATCTGGAGCACTCTTGAAGCGACCTCGGGCAGGAAAAGGGGTCGATTGCTAGACTGGGCTCTGTGATCCGCTATTGAAATCCATTATCCGGGTCTTTATATCTTAGATGACTTGTCATCGCCCATCCGGGACCGCCTTCCCGCCGAAACATATTTCGGGCCAGCTCATACTCGCTGCTTTCCTTTCAAGAAACATTTGGTTTGCCTTTTGTGTTCTGTGATAGCTTTTCTAGAAAGAAGAGGCAACAACAGCCCCGTGCAAGTTCTTCGGCAAAGTGAGTCCTTTGAAAATTTTTGGACGATTTTGAAAGATGTCGAGCGCATATCACACTGAACTAGCTAAACTAACTAATCAACTTCTGGGTTATCATATCTGGGCACGTCGGAAGAGGGGTATTTTCGGAACAGCGCTGTCTCCACTGTTATCAAATACGAAGCAGATTTCACAGAAGTTAATTCAATTCGCTGAAATGCCATTAATTTGACCTAATCGGTGAATATGTTGCCTCAATTCCGATTGGTCGTGTATTCGTAGACCTGACTGTTGAAAGTCGGCACTATGTCTACTTATATCATAAAGGCACATGGACGCTGATACAGACGGCTAATCAGGTACACCGAACAATTACCAACAATAGCAATTAAATAGAAGTAAGTTCCTCGCAGCTTTAATGGTATCAAAATCTTCATCTTCAACTAACCTGAGCGTACGAGCGTTGAAATATTCATTGCCAGTGCAGTTGCTTTCCACCTCGTAGGGGACCGCTAGTGTTTGAGAGTACTGGCCGAGGCACGCTCTTTGGAGGAAGATTATCAAAAAAAGCACGAGGAATTCTTGAAGATAGGTCATCAATGCTTAGTAGGTTTACGAAAAGAAGGCCGGTTGCTGCCGAGCTGCTGAACGTGCGCGACGTTACCATGGTCACGCATCAGGCGTGCGTCAATGCGTTGCAAGTGGACGAGGTTAACTGCTAGAGAATACAATTGTGTTCTTCTGGATACAGTTCACCACCCTTTATGTTGCTCTTCTAACTTCTTACTCCTTGCCATCCAGATTATAGTTCATAGTAGATTGTATAAGGTGCAATCAGGATGAAGGTTGCGTCACAAAATCCTCAACGGAGAGCTCTTAATTGGTCCAGAGGGTAGGGTGGGGGGAGCGTCGGATGTGCAGTGGTCAGCAGTTATCAAAGCAGCGGTGACCTGTTTACTCTATTTTATTCTGCAAATAAGCGACACAAACCAATGGAAAACAAAGAGGTTAAATAAAAAGATAAAGCAGGCATTTGCCATTAATCAATTCATTCAGGTATTCTACATCCATTTGTATGTTCCCAGGGGCACTTGAATGCAGTTTTTCCCATACAATGACTTGTGTGGACCAGCCGCTGTCAAGTCAGTGTTTCTCTCTTCCCAGGCGATTTATTCCGGCTTACCGGGAGCAGAAACCCAGACAGAAAGGATGCAAAGGCTTTGTTTGGCGGCCATGAATTCAAATGGCCCGTACTCCGCACGGGCCTGGCTGAGAGCAGCGCCCCTTTGCACTACACTTAATTCGCCGCGAGAAATAAATAGAAAGAGAGCAGGACAGCGAAGATGAAAGGGATTTCAAAACAAGGGGAAGCACACAAAAATCGCTCACGAGTCTAGAAGTAAACGTTTACAGAGAACTACATTTCTGAGATACGACCATGGAAGCATTAACTACCTAAAGACAGAACCTAACAACCACAGCTGGTTATTGCTGTAGGTAGAGCAGAAGCAAGGCCTCCGAAGGCATGACGAATGGTAATCATAATTAGATATTATGAAGCAAATCACCGCACAAACCTTAAGGCTCCTTATTATTACAGTGCAATGGGCGGGGGCAAGGCCTAAGAGATTGGACACTACTCATGCCGATCATGCAGCAGATAAGCGGATTTTCAACTTACAAAAATTGCAGAGTCCTGAGTCATGCATCAAAGAAACTAACCAATAAAATCAAAATTCGACCACTACAAAGGGGTAGTGGATAGGCGAACCGACACTAAAAGAATAAGCATGAGCAACTCGTAAGGTGATGTCATAGAGAGAAGTCTCTATAAAGCGTGTAATCATTGTTGACGATTTTTTATTTGTTCAATTACACGATTGGTTACGATATAGTAGATCTAGCGAAATTTATGATTTGATGTTACTAGGGTATGGCTGGTAGTTTTCAAGGATTTTCCGATACGGTTTGCATGTCTCTCATTTCGGTGGGTGCGTTAACAACGACCATTCCTAAAGACCAAGCTAGACTCGGCTCACTTTGGATTTTTCCAACCATTTTCGTGTCCTTTTAATTGGAACCTCATGCAGGACCACTCCAGTGCCTATACTAAGCAGAGTGCTCTATTAATAGTAGCACGGAAGGTGCTGGACTTGATCATTCTAGAAATTGATGAGAAGGTAGGCAACTACTTCAATTCAAGAATGATGATGTATTAAGGTTGATCTAAAAGCTGGCTCGAAAAAAGCAGATTAACAAGTAATAAGAAAGATCGCCTGTCGGCCAGGGAGTCAAAAATACCAAAACGGCAAAAATAGTTGCCCCCTTTTTGATTCCCTTTCATTAGGTTAGGATCCATCGGTACTTTCAAGAATGATGAAGCAGCACAGGAAGTTCTTTGCAAGGGAAGTTTGGGTAAAAGACTTGTGTGCCATCGGAAGTGAGTTACGTAGAATCTTTGTCGATAGGAATCTACGCCCCGGACAAACTAGCGTTAAGCTCATGGCTCTGCCTAGCCATGCAACAGATATGGGGTTCGATTGATTAACGGACGCTCATGGATAACTGAATGGGCAAAGATGGGAAGATACGAAGATCAGCCGTCGGTAGATGGCGCAATGATTCGATCCAAAAATATAAAAGCCCAACAGCAATCAGTCAGCGATCGATCAACAAACCAGTGGGCGTGATAGCCAGCGCGCTGGTTGTCACTCTACCTGCACCGCGCGCATGGGGCGGAAGGGCGGAAGCGCAATGGTCCTGCTCAGCAACCACAGCACTGTTCGCAGTGGAAGCGCCACACATCGCTTCCTTGGCGGCCTGCTAATTGCTCTGTGGGGAGCAGGTTCTCCGCAGATGTGAAAATTCCTTTCCGTACCTACTTCCTTTAATGGAAGGTAGGTTAGCAAGACCGTAATGTAAAGCCGAAATCTTCAACAGATAAAATCAATTTTGGTCCCATGATCATCGTCCACCTACAGAAACTCCAGCCTAGAAAGTCGGCATGAGAGTGGCCTTTTTTCACGTCCTCTTCGTACTTTTGATTCCCGGAGACCACCACCATGTATTTATTTTGTTCTATTTATCCAATAAGTGGTGTTATAGATCTTATATTGGCATTAATAAACCTAAAATAAGAAAATGTACGAGTGTAATTTATGCTGGAATATTCAGATACCTGTTTTCCTAGGTACAACCTGGATTGTGAAATGACTGTCAAGCAGTTGACTAGTGGCAGCGAAATGGAGTTTTTTGAAGCGTTTTTGAAATTCTTCGACCGAGGTGGAGCACCACAGGTTAGTAGTATATGTAGTCAAACGATTCTACTGTCGAGAGGTCTATCGACTTTCGGCAGTGGATTAACTCAAGGAAATGTAGATCTACTAGGTCGTCCACGTTGGGTCGGGTCTGCGAAATTGTTGACCAATTGGTACATTAGGTAATTTTTGAAAAACTCGAAATGCTGAATAAAACGTGCAGTCTACATCGAATCAGTCAGCAGTGGTTTTAGGTGCCACTGTGGACATAAAGAACTAATGCGAGGCAACTCCGTTCTTGTTGGCGTTCAAATTAGTGGCAAGCGAAGGCTGCCTAATTCTTTCACATACCTGTTGCTTTTCTTTTCCAGCTTCATCCTATTCCAATACTCAATAATCTCATCCGATCTGCTACTGGTACTCAGTTGAACCAGCTTCCGCAGCAAACGAATGGTTGGGTTCTTACAAGAAGGTTCTTTCTTGCTGACGACGTTAGCCTTACTGCCACGAATTCCTCTCCCATTATACGCTACGCGAAAAATATTGAGGTGCACGTCGAATTACAGGTTAGGAGCGGCTCCTACGTTTTTCCAACATTTTTTATTTTTTGCTTCCCCATCCGTGTCCGCTCTGACGTTTTTCCAGTATTTTTATTTTTTCATTTTTCCAATTTATGTTTCCAGTTCTTTTTTATCGGGATTATTCACTTTCAAATCTTCTGAAAGACTCGGCTTCGAGGGACAGAGCATTTCTCCTTTCAGACTAGTCGTGATGGCATGATTTTTCCACCGTACATAAGCATCGATTACGCTGAAACCAATGAGAACCGCAGCGTCGTTGTTCAGCGAAACTTCAGAGTTACCTACACAACTGATCCTACACGCCACGATCGGGTAAGTGATATTATCTAGGCATCCCTTAGAAAAAAAGCTCGTTAGGACAAGAGGCAATGCATGTGTACAGGTCCTCTTAAATCATAGTGGCGGTCCTATGCATGGCGCATCCTTCACGAAGTTCGAGTGGATAATGCTCTCGTCACGTTTTTCTTTTAAACTCTTTTGCTCGTCTCATCTCTGTCCATTGTTTCACAGAATTCTTGACAGGATTGAAGCAACTGTCCAATAAAAGGCTTACTAACAAGATGTTTAATAGAATGTGTAAAGATTGCACAACCCAAAGGCCACTTATATGGCTACAGTCCTTACTTCATTACTTGCTTACTTCTCGACCGCTATTGTGCCGAGCACAAACAAAAACGCAAGTCACACAACTTCCTAGGCGCTCTGCTTTGGGCTCGCTGCAGACCGTATAACTTCACGGGAGGGTCAGCCCATCGGGTGGGTTTTCCTCTGGGCCTTGTTTTGCAACCACCTTATTAGCACTAACCTTATGACCCGCAAAGTCGCTTTCTTTACAACATGCACGGCGCACTCCTTTTTCCCACTCTCGGTTCATTTCTGTAACTATAGAATACGGACGCGGACGTCGGCTAGCCTCTGTGATTCGATATCTATGTAGGCCCAAATGCTGATTCAGAATTCTCGGTGTTATCATATGTACTATAAAGCAAAACTAAGGGATCTCCTCAAACTCGTTCACTGATATCAGGAAAAAAATGAAGTAAGACAAAATAAATAAAGGAGAATCGAATAAATATTGCTAAATTAAGGAGTTGGAGATCACGATGGCAGTGCTGTGCCCACTCTCTGTTTTATGGGCCGCCATGAAAGCGTACAGGTACGCTCTATAGTTGCGATCATTGGAGGCGTATGACTATCATTATCTTGACTATTTATCGACAGGAAATTACTAAAACCCACGAATTTCAGTTGGGGTCGTCGTAGCGGAAAGGCTTCGCTTCTCGATGCCGCTACCGTACTTCAATTCTTACTGTATGAGTGTGCAGCACTTGGGGACGTCTTTTTCGTGGTATTGACCGCAATGTCATGTTGGATCACATTTGCCTACAAATCTCAGACGTATCCTTTCTACACCATACTCAACGAGGAACAGGTTAGCCCATACTAGCGGGGCGCTCACTCGTTAATAAGCGAGGGGGAGAGCATTTTGATACGGGTGCGTTCCAGTTTTCTTCTTGGTCAGGCCACTTAAATTTATGACACTACTGATTTGCTGGTAGTGAACCTTAGATAAGCTGAGTGAATAATAGCTATAAGCTAATGAGCAAGCATAGCATTAGGCCCAGTTATAAAGCGTCTCTTCTGACCTGACCTAAGAGGAAAACTTGGCGTATCCCTTCTGAAGCAGAGAACTCAAGGTGTTTGGAACCATGGTGAATTCTTCACACGAATATAAACGTTTGGATAAATTCACAGTCACATAGTTTCCTTTCCGCACAATGGAATTGGATCACTCATCACGGGATTATTTTCCACTTTCTAGATTTGTGTTACCGTGAAGGCGTACCGGAGTATTACACTAAGATGCCCCCTCCGAAGAGCGCTCTGACGATACTCTTGTATTGGCAACGAATAAATAGTCGGTAAACGCAGATAAATCCATGCTCAGCAAACGATTACAACTACTTCGATTTTTTATTTAACGTACGCGTAGGTGACCCTACTTCACTTCAGAAGGAATCCAACGAGCACATAAGAAAGAATCTCAAAGGCACGTGTCAAGGTCGGATTGGTGTGCTACTTTGTTAGACAAAATTAGACAAGAATAGGGAATGGGGATCAAGAGCGGGGAAAAATCCAAAACACTGAAATTTTCCTTTGTGAGATCAGCCGCGGCATGACTGAGAGACACAGCGCTGCGAGGAGAGCGAAAAGGAGAGAGAGCACGTCGTAGGAAAAGGTGAGATTGCGCACGTCGTCGTCGTCGAGAGGGAACAAACGCCATGTATGCTGTGATTGATAGAAAGACAACGCCAGCAGCGCGCAAGGTAAGGGTTAAGCACTGTTGCCGCACACTTTTGTGTCGTGGCAGAGTGGCCACTCCTGGGTTTGAGATCCCCTCTTGCTCATCCTGAGAGGGACTATCTTGTGGCGCCTAGTTCCGACCAGTGGCTTTAACCCATAACGGGCTTCCATTCATTCTTTGCACCCTAGTTTTAAGCGGAAAGGCGGGTTACGAAGTTGTCGTCAACGGAAATCTCTTCTTTTGGATGATGAGACACGGACACCTACTTTAGCCCCGTCTTAACCCTGCTGTTCGCATAAGCCTACATAAACCCTACCCTGTGTGGCGGCGTGCGCCACCATGGTGGCGCACGCAACAAATACACTGGCCGTCCGTTGGGTTAAGCGACCTACCAAACAGCTTAATTCTTCAGTAAACTTCGTAATTTACCTTATATGACTCTAATTGATTTGATGATTGTTGATTTCTGTCATGCATAGCGTAAAGAAAGCGAGTAGGTTCAACGGCCAAGAGTTTACTGCGACCACATATTCTTGGGTGCTTACTTCTGGCTGACCTCTACCTAAGAAACCTCCGATTTCTTTCAGGAATGGGTTCTGATGGCATATTTGATCGCCACAGCCTGTCTGAAGTTCATCGCTCTCGTTCATAACATACTCCATATGATCCTACAGGAAACATTTTTTATCGATTGGGAAAGACCGCAAATTATTGAAGTGAGGACTGCTTGCTTCACGGCTAGCTATTTTGAATCACATTGTCTCCATTTAGAACACACAGCTAGCTCGGCCAGTATCTCGAGATGTATCCAAAGACCGCAAGGAGGTGCCAGTGGTCGTGTGGTTAGTCTTTAATGCCAATCTGATATCATTAATCATTATAAACAAGTTTGTGTGATCGGTTTGTCGGTGTATGTGTGCGTGTGTGTGTCGTTCTTTCCGTCCGGACCGATCGTTAACAGAACGAAGGAGTTTGTATGACTGCGCATCGTGATGTTGTTTTCATGACTATGATAACACTCACACGGCTATATAAACACCAATCGAGTAAGGCAGGTCAATTCGACATGGGGCTGCAGTGGCTATGGGCAGGGAGGTGGTGGGGAGGAAAGGTGGCGGAGGATAGCATAGTTCAGGATTCGTGTCCGTCTTTGTGTAAGTTATTGCAACGTGGTTGTAGATACCCTAAGGCGATTGGAGAAAATTAAATAGTCCTATACACGTTCAGTCAATTCACAAGGTGCTGCAGTGGCAGGTGGGAGCCCAGTGGAGGGGGGGGGAAGGAAAGGGGAGAGGATAAGGTGAGAAGAAAGAACGGCAAACTTCGCAGGGAACGAAAGGTCCGCCGTTTGCCGGGGGACCAATCTGGTTTCATAATAATTCTTAATTTATGGTGCGTTTCCGTGAGCATGCTTATTTACTTTTGAGGCGCACATACTTCGTGGCTAACGAGTGGGCGGAGCTGCGTTGCGTTCGCGCTACGTCGATTGGTCTACAGCTACTGATAGTTCTCCTGCTGCTTGAAGCTTTCGACTTCATGCGATTTAGTGTTGTTCAGCCTGGTTTCGGCGAAGGTTCGTAACTGTTCGTGGACACCACTTTTCACATAGAATCTTGCGCAACTACTTGTTTAAGGTTCACCTTCATCGGAATCGACAACAATGACAAAGTTCGCTGTGGTCATATTCTTTTACATGGTTGTCGGGTTTCTGCAGTGGGCTATACAAGCACGTTTTATGCATTTATGCATCGGTTTTTCTCCGTCACCTGCTTTTCTCCTCATCATCACATACGTTTATTTGTTGTTCCAGGTGGCAATCGTTGAACGAATAATTACCGATCCGTTCCATAGTTTCATCGATCTGTGCTCTATTGCAAACATCAGGTGGGATCATGGCAAGCATGTTCCGACAACCCTCACGAAGTTGCGCTTCAAATTTGGTATTAGCTAAGACCTATGCTGTGTTAATTAGATGCGAAAGAGTAGATCCGGACGGCGTCAAACTAGCCTACACCGTTTCGTATCAGCCGGCGGGCCTAGCATCATAATTCAGTGATTTCAACATTTGCTTGACCCTTCATATCATGGCTCAGGTCAAAGGAACATTTTAGCTTCAAAATCCAGAAAAAGCTACAAAGAACAAGAGCCAGCGACAAGTTCCAGAAAGCCCAAGAAAATCAGTTAGCGTTGCGATCTCCATGCTTGAAATTCTATTTCATATTTGGCACAGATTGATATATGTATGAGGTGTTTCAGAAAGTTCTGTCGTTTTCTGACACTCCACATTTGGATGCTTCATTTTACTTGAAATCTAGAGAAACTGCCATCGGTATGGATACCATCTTGAAGAGCTTTTCTGCTCTATCCAACTTTAGCTCAGCTTTGTTCTAAAACATTTTCTTATAACTTTTCAGAGCTTTGAATGTGGTATACTCGATGAGCAAGTTGGCATGATTTTCTTTTTCTAGCTTTAAATAGACCTGAAAGTAGCGGGAACAGTTCAAGATATTAACGATGCACTTGGCTTAGATTCGCAATAAATGTGCTAAGAAGCAGTAGTTCAAAAAATATCTTCAAAATGCGGGTTCAGCATTTCTCATTATAAAGGGACGGACACATCTCTGACAGTTGTGCTACACGCGTGTCGCACAACCAAGTTGTTCCAGCTAGGCTAAGAAGAGGTGCTGCAGATATTATACTCAGTACACCTCTGGCTATCAACTGTCACTTTCTTGATGGCCTCGATAGTTCCCTTGAAAGAAAAATGCTTCAAAACACAACCCGATGCTAAAACGACCTTCCCTCAGTTCACCGCCTCCAGGGCTCCAGCATTCTGAACAAAGGTAACCACTAAAACGGCTCCTTATAGCGGAAGGTTAGCACATTCAAATGATTTTTATTTCATCCGGAAAGTTTTTTAAGCCGAGATACATGCATTTGAAATTCGGGGTTGAAAAACGACAGAACTCTCTGGAAGGCCTAATGGTTAGGAAGAACCGCGTTATGGAGTTGTGAGGCAGCCGGGAGCGAGATCTTTGAGCCACCCTCATTCGAGTAATGTTATTTCACTTGAAAATAAACGTAGAGGTGCGAAGTGGATCGCTATTGAACAAAAAGGAAATGGGAACTGTAATAACTGATATTAAAATGTCTTTTCGGCGGTGAAGCCCAACTGCTGTTGCGAAGCAGGGTCAAGCGAGGCGTCGAGGAAAATTTGGAAATACGACCCCCCCCCCTCCCTCCTCCGCCAAAGGCCGAAGTCCATGAAACGACCCTCTTCAAAAGCCGAACTATGGAAAGGTTGTCTAATTCTCCCCCAAAACTGTTCATAAAAAAGCCATCACACCGTCAACCGAAAATTCTTTTAAAAAGTACAAAAGTGAAAAGTCAAAAAATAATCATTATTGATGAGTCCTACCAAACGAGCAAACGAAAAACAGCAGAAAACGACAAACTAGTCACTAAAAATGGCATACTATGACAACATCTCTTCTTTATTTATTTCCTTCACAAGACTTACCAAAATTCTAGTACTACACAGAGTACGGTTCTCAATTTACACGTCCCCTTCAGTTGAAAGAAGCTTTTTAACCGCCTTAGCCAGCTGTGTGCTGACTGATCTTTGGCGTTGGCCGTGGAGCAGCTTATTTACTATTGAAATTTGAACAAATATTCAAATGATTATAACTTTCTTCAAATATGACGAATTTTCAATCTGAAAGCAGATTTGGGAGTTTTGTGAAGAGCTCTTTCTAATCAGTATTGAAATCACAAAAATTTATAAGAAATAACAAATTTAGATCGATTAACGAGGAAAATTCATGATGAGCACGAGTTTTTACACTTTCCGAGGCCGTAACTTGCTCCCTTTTCATCATTCCCGAAAAATTTATATGTCATACAAAACTAGAAGATTTTCTCTATCAAATGGTTGCTAAAGCAGCTTTATATGTCCAGTATTTAAAAAATGGCCACGTTGAGGATTTTTGCAAAATTAACGAGGAAAATTTGCGATGAGTGCGAGTTTTTACGCTTTCCAAGGCCATAACTACGTTCAAACCCATCCAATCTGAAAAGTAAATACGTCAGCATAAACTAGAAGAATTGCACTATTCAACGGTTACTAGGACTGCTAAAAACGTCCACAATTTAAAAAATGGCCACGTTGAGGATTTTTGCCCGAGTACCGCCGAAAGGTACTTTTTCGCTGCATTAGCACTACTCCAACGACTATAGCTCCTTTCAGGGGCAATTATACACTAAAGTAGGAGCAGATTCGAAATCCTCTTTCTTTTCTCTTTCCAAGAAAGTGTAAAATTGTTTAGCGTGTCTTAACTTTAACGATTACATGCTTGTGAATTTGACGCTGAAGGCTGCATTTCTTGCTCAATAGTT